TCCCGTGATTGTAAGCCGCCCTGAGTCCCCTCAGGGAGAAGGGCGGCCTATAAATCGTAATAAATGTCAAATGTCAAATTATGCAGCTCGGCTAGTCCTCTTCTTGTTTCATTTTAGAATATTTTGTCTGGTGGCCTTTTGATTTGTTAGTTGCCTAGATTTCTGTAAATCTTTTATTTATTCCTAAAATAGGTCTTCCTTCCCACCTCTCCTGCAGCTTTTCAAAACTCCCCTGGGAGAACATCCAATTCTCTGAATTTATGGGAGAGCAATGAAAGGGGACAGGCGGTTATCCTTCTACGAGCTCCACTGCAGGCTATCCACTCTGTCACTGAGTTTCCCTCATGCAGGACTAGCAAAATAACTCTAACATGATTATTAACAGCATCCGGATTATGGAATAAGTTTGTTGGTGCTAAATTACCATATTTTTCAGAGTATAAGATGCACACACCCCCAAAAAAAAGTGGGTGAAAATTTTGACCCGTCTTATAGACCAAATATGGGCCTGTTTTTGGCCTCCTGAATCTTCCGCATGTCACGTTTTCACCCTCCCCGGTTCCCAGAAGCACTCAGCAGTGCTCCACATGTCCCGTTTTCGCCAAAAATGGGCTCATTTGTGGCTTCCCGAACCCTCCGCACATCCAGTTTTCGCTCTCCCCGGCCCCCAGAAACACTCTTCGGTAATCTGCACATCCCGTTTTTGGCCTGCAAAGTGTTTCTGGGAGCTGGGGAGGGCGAAAACAGGACATGTGGAGGCAAAAAACTTTTTTTTTCTTGTTTTCCTCCTCTAAATCTAGATGCGTCTTATAGTCCGAAAAATATGGTACTCATTTCAATTTCTATTTAATGTTTTAAAAAAATCATCTAATTTTAAATAGTGATCTAATAATTAGACTTAATTCCATTTTTTTTAACAGCTAGTTTTAAGCTGAACAAAAATCCTGGCCATTTGTCAAAAACATACAGATTAACTCAGTATCTTTTGGCAATTGTACCACAATTAATAATAGCAAGCAGCTGGTAGTTAGCAAGAGTAATCCAGTGCATGTGCTAGTGGATTAACCTACCATTTATAGTTAAACATTTACTCAAAGGGTTTTCTTTACCCAGATGAAATCAAAACTGAAGGATTTTGTTTTCACTGACCGATTCTTTCAACTATGGTGTTCCTGTAGCATAAAATGCCAAGGAGGAAAGAACACACGAGAAGTAAAAAAAAACTTACATGAACAATTCAGCAGGTTCCAGCAGCACAAAAAACCACTGCTGGTGGTGCCAAGGAGATATTTGGAACAAATGAGCTTTCCAAAACACAGGCTCCTAAAGAAAGGAAAGGTCAGAATAGTTGCCCAACTCTAAATCGTGCCAGTAACATTTACTGCTATGTTCGTCAGCATCCAGGATTGAAAACTGGTGGGGAAAGAGCCGATCATTCCCTATTCCGTGAAGTATTTCATAATATGCCCCCTCTACATTAACAAGGCTCTATCTCAGAAACTCATTTCTCAAATTTGGTTGTAAGACTCCTGTGCTGGCTAACGATATACTTCAAAACGATATACTGTATACTCAACAGCAACCTATCTATTACCTATCTAACACATGGTAAATAAAAAGGTCATCTAAATGATACAACATATTGAGCTGAAGCCAGAAACATTTCTGCTAGGAATTCTCCCTGAAATTTATAATAAGGAGAATATATATTTAATCATTCATGTATTAACCGCAGCTAGAACTGTATTTTCACAATATTGGAAAAGTGTAGCGATTCCTATTGATGAGAAAGCGATAAGGAAAATATTAGACTGTGCAGAAATGAACAGATTAACATTAGCAAGTAAGGAGAAAGAGCAAACTTTTTATGGTTATTCTATTATATATAATATTATTATATGATTTGGGAAATATTTTACCAATGGTTGGAGAATAAAAAAGGAGTTTGGAAATGAAGAAAGCTAAAAAATAAGTAGACAATATACTTAGAGATATAAATAAGATGAAATCTGTTAGTATGTATATGATGGGAATAATGTTTAATGTTAATATGATATTATTAGTAGAAGATATTAAGAAGAAAAATTGAGAGTTTTATAACATTTAAATGCTCAATATATTATAATACTAAACTTGGGGAAATAATGTTAATATGAATGTGAAAGAGGTGGCAAAAGAGGAACGATGTTGCACACAGATGCTTGTACGCAGACGACACACTGCATAAGAAAAGATGGGATGTTTATTTTTGTAATTGAAAAATAATAAAACACTTTATAAAAAAAAAGAAGGTCATCTAAAAAGTTCCTGCAAAAGGAAGGACGTCACTGATGTCCGAGCCAGCTGGACGTTCAGGGTTTAAGATTAGCCAAAGCCTTCCAATTTCACCACTGAGCAACTTTACTCTTTTTACCTACATCTCCTAGCAGCAACTATACGTGCAGACCTGGGAACAAATTCCATTTTACAACTGTACCATTCAAACCTCCCACAGCAATCAGGCAAATGTTTACACAAAGAGGGTCAAGGAAGTCATTTGAAAAAGAGCACCTTCCGAGCAAATGGTTCTGTTGAAACCATTTCAGATAACAATGTCCTTTGCAAATGCTGGCAGGCAGGCAGGTCATGATCAATTTTAGAAGTTCGCTGAAACCATCTTGCTGACGGGACAGTAAATTAGGAGGAACTGGTTTTTACTAGCAGGAAAAATGTAAGGCATTCAAGCAGACTTGAGGGCTCAGCTGCATTGAGAACTATAGTTGTTGTTAATTTGCCTATTTAAGAATATTGTATCACAAGCACACACACTTAAAAAGGGTGGTCTATTTACTAAGCCATGATCCTTAGTTATAATGAATAGTCAATTTAATCATCCCTGCTAATCAGGCTCCCTTTACTGGCTGCGGGAAGTTCAGAAATGAATACAAGGGAGGACCAATGACCTTGCTTGTTATTCCAATGCACATTTTAGTTTCATAGAAGAGCAATTTTACATTCCTTTAGCTCATTATCTCTTTTCCCTCATTTTATTCTTACCCAAAGGATTTGATCTTTTAAAGAAAAGATCCCAGCCTAAGCTAAAATTATACATACTGGATATGCTATTCCAAGCACAGAAAATGAGTTAATTTATGAAGACTTTTGTCTCTGTTGTCAGATCTTGTTCTTAAAATTAATTAGAGGAGGTTGTAAACTGAGAAGAATATTTCAGACTGAAAACCGCAACACTACACTTCTCAAACCGAGTTTTTTAAAAAGTGATTTAAATGCAAAACAAGCAAAACAATAAGATCCACGAGCATACAAGTACGTACATTATAGTTCCTGGAGGATGGCAGAAAGTGCATTTTAAGTCCCACGTTTCAGAATCCCACACGGTGATTGTTTTGTCAAAGCTAACCGCAAGTAAAGAGCCATCTTCAGAGAAGCAGCAATGCGTAGCTTGATAATTATGATAACTTCCTACAAAATCACAGGTCCAAGTTATGCTTTCATCTGCTGGGGAAGAGGCACAGAGATTTAGGGAAAGAATATAAATGTTAGCTGTATGGGATGAAAAAAAAATCATGTGAGCATTTTAAGTTTTTACAAATTTGGTCCGGTTTGCTTGTGAGGTTAACAATTGTATTCACTTGCTCCTTTCCTTGCACGAAAACTTTCCTTGCAATGGGACAGTGTCAAACTAATGTGGGACCAAGAAGGCCCCATTTTCTTTTTTTCACTGGAAGACAAAGAGAGCTTAGTCATCTTGGTAGTCCAGCAGAGCAATTCCACATAAACCGCATACTACTCTCTCTTTTTTCTGAAGCAGGAAAAACCACACATTTCTGGGAAGATTTCTGCCCATTTGAAAGGAATCAAGAGACCGCTGTGTGGGAGTAATACTTGCCATGGCAAGCAAAAAAGTGGGGGGGAAACCAAGCTATACGAGTTAAGATTTTTTTCCTACACAAAATGGAATCCTGCTAAAAGCACGTCCATGTTTAAGTTACCTATTTTTGCTGGCACTTTGGTTCAAGAGAAATCATAGGTTATCATACACAAATGGGTAGGTTTGCCTGAAACAAACATAAATCCACAGACTTCACTTTTAAATTCACTTCACTATTTACAATCATTAATTTGGGCCCACAGCTGCAGTTTTTCTTCAAATCCCTCTCCTTTCAGAGCACGTGGAAGAGATAATTTGATGTCATGAAATGTACATTTAATATAACATCTGGATGTGCCACATCAAGAAACACACACACACAAAACTCCAAACACATCACTCAAAATTGCAAGATAGAAACTTCTCCATATAGGTGCTCCTACCTCCACTTTAAGTGCCCAGGTTATGAAAACCAGAAATAACTTTCAAGTATAAACAACACAACACAACATAACACTAGGATATCTTAAACAGGGAAAAGTGCAGAAGCTTAAAATTAAGGGGGGAGGGGGAGAGAGAATCTTATGTCTCCACAAAAATGGCCTTACAAAGATCACCAAGCTTTCATGACTGAATGTAAAGGGGTAAGAAAATACAGCTACAGAGAATCACAGGTTTAGTAGGAATTCCTATCCTAGTTGCCACCAACTAGGTGCAGGACAGAGAAACTCAAAAAGACTAAAGTCTTTTTCTCTTGCACTATATATGATTTTATTCCAGTTGCAAAGTTCACAAATGGTCAAATTCCATTGTACATAGAAGTGCTAAGTGACGTAGACATGTCTCTCTATGTAGAGATAATTTCTAGATATTTTAAAAAAAATATTTATCCATGTTGCAAATGAATGAAAGCTACCCTCCCCATTTTACTTACTTTCATTGTCTTTATCCACCAGCAGCATCCAGACCTTGAAATGCCCATCATTGCTGGTTGTTACCAGAACTGGGGTTTCATTTTCAGAACCATCTGTGCCACGGAAACACATCGCTGTTATGCTGTCCTCGTGTGGCATATTTATTCGTGTGTTTAGAGTAAAGCTAACATCAAAAAGAAAGAAAGAAAATTATATTAAAGCATTCCCATGAAGTAAATAGGCTTCAAGGCACGTACTAGTATTATGCTGGGTTGATATATTAAACATTTAATTCACATTAAATGGATGGCGTATTTATTGGATGTTATAATTTCCAATTGATGGTGTGGTATTTTTATCCTCAAAATAAAAGTGGTACATTCTGTACTACTGTACCACTGGCAGAAGTAGTCTGTATAAAAACAGATCTGGTTTTAAGCCATCATGATATAAAATGAAGTAGTTGCCTCTGAGTTGGGCTTGACTCCTGATGAATTACACCTAAATATCCATAAATTTGGGGGGATATGGCACCCAACTGCTTTGCCACTACCTTATTTTAAAGTCTTGTTTCAATGTTCTCATCTACATTAAATAGATCTGATAGAAGAGTGTATCTTTCCTATACAGTTAACACTCTTCTATCAAACCCAGTTGCTCAAACATTAGAAAGAGGATACAGTAATGCAGTGTTTCCCAAACTTTTGACATATGCGTACCCCTTCTATAATTTTCGTAACACTGAGTACCCCTCATAAAAAACATATGCTTTAATAAAAATCAAAATATATTTATCCTGTTCGTTGATTGCTACTACAATCATTACTTTCTTTCAGTTTAGTAGTTCCAGATTTCAACCAGCGATCCATAATCTCTGTTAGGGATAAAAATTGTATTTTATAAAAATAATCAAAATCAGTGGAACTTACTAAAGCACGATAACAGGCGCCCGGAACTAACTATTAAAGAAGTTGTCTCTGTAACGAAGTGCAGTATATTCACGCCGTGTCACGCCTCACAAGACTGTCTAACCGTTAGATAACACTGCAATTCTCCGGCATTTAAACAGCTCCGCGGCTCAACGTCAACTGTTAATGTTCCTGCAGTTTAAAAATGGCCGAACCCGAGCTGCACGAAGGATGCGCAGAAGTTCCCGCCATAATGAGTTGCGATACGATGTACGATGGCCCCAGTTCCCATGTAAAAACTGAGATACGCGCCTATTTCTTTCCTTGTTCTGTGGGCGCAGCTAAGCACGGTGCAGTGGATATTCCCACGTGATCCCCACCAAACTCCGGTGCAACGCGTACCCCCACCAAACTCTTCCTGTACCCCTGGGGGTACGCGTACCACCCTTTGGGAAACACTGCAGTAATGTAATGCTTGTAAGACATCTCTCTACTTATTGAAATAGGTGGTGACTTAAAGGTATCACTGGAATTATCCAAGTATCAGAAACTATCTGTTGTATTATTTTAACTATATAAATGGAATGGGAATGAGAAATAAGGTAGTTGCTACTAGTTCCAGAAATGTCATCATTTGGTTTCCTAAGTATTGATAATTAGTGTGGTCAACTTAGTGCAAATTATATACATTTATACTTGGACAAAAATATATGCCAGTATATAAAAATAGCTGAAACACTGAGAACAAGGTTAATCTGCCTAACAAATCAGTAATGGAGTACACCAGCCTTCTTCAGATTGATGCCCATAGGATTAAGAGCTCCGTTGGCGCAGTGGTTAGAGTGCAGTACTGCAGGCTACTTGTGCTGATCACCAGCTGCCAGGAGTTTAACAGACTGAATCTCACTAGGCTCAAGGTTGACTCAGCTTTCCATCTTTCCGAGATGGGTAAAATGAAGACTCAGATTGTTAGGGGCAATATGCTAACTCTGTAAACAATTTAGAGAGGGCTGTGAAGCACTGTGAAGTGGAATATAAGTTTAAGTGCTATTGCTATAGGTAAGTTGAACTTCAGCTCTTTGGCTGTCATATTGTAGATGGGAATGCAGAGGATGGAAATGTAAGATTAAATAATTCAGCACACTAACACAAATCACAGATTTCTTCCTGCAAAGCTAACTCTCCCAGAAAAAAACAATGTTATTGCCCACTTGCAATATGTCATGAAGTCACTGCTCTGCTTCCCTATGGCCTCTGTTCCCTGTGGCTCAAAATAACACTATAAAAAATGCCAATCATGAAAACGTTTCATGTCCCTGGGGTCATGAGATCCTTGACGACTTGGCCTTCATTCTCCATGGCTAGAAGCAAAATCTAGGCTTTAAAATGACCACAGGATATGTTAGTGCTCTGCAACATAGCAACTAGAGTAATATGACTCCCTTTGCCCAACATAAATTCAAACATGTTTAACCTTTGTGTCTGCTCATTGTAGGCCCAGAGCTTCAGCTGCATCTCAAGCTCGCTGTCACTTCCTTGCCGCTGTTCCACGGTAGCCAGCCAGTCGCCTTTGGCATCAAACACAGCTTTCACTAACTCAATCTGGTCAAGACCGGACTGATGAATATACTCCTGCTGCACAACATCCAGCTGTGTATTTCAGAGAGAGAGGGAGGGAGGGAGGGAGGGAGGGAGGGAGGGAGGGAGAGAAGCAAAAGAGTTGACTAAGTCCAAGTATCTTTGGAAGAAAGTCAAAAACAAATCAGAACAAAAGACTTTGCAGGTGGTATACTATCAATCTTCTCTAAACTGAGCAATATAGGTAGTCCTTGACTTACAACAGTTTGTTTTGTAACAGTTCAAAGTTACAGCATCATTGATCCGTGGATCATGTGGTCACCTTCTGCAACCTTCTGATAAGCAAAGTCAATGGGGAAGCCAGATTCACTTAATAACCATGTTACTAGCTTAACAACTGCAGTGATTCACTTAACAACTGTTGCAAGGAAGGTCGTAAAATGGAACAAAATTCACTTAGCAACAGAAGTTTTGCCTCAATTGTAGTTGTAAATTGAAGATACTTGTACAAGGAAGGAGGCATCCTAAAATTAGTATTGTATTACTTGTATTTCTTCCATTCAAAGCTTTTGCACACCTCCGGGCACAATTCAACCATCAACATCACTTTATATCACCATATTTCTTTGATTCCGTACAGAAACTCAGACGCTTTATTCTCTTTCAGCCCACTGACCTTTTATCCTAATGGCATCAATGACTTCTACTTATTCATGGCAGAGTGTACATTTTGCCCCCCATATCACGTAGCCTTTTCCAATGTCAGCAAAACTTACCTTGAAGTTCTTCACCTTCTTCCTTTTAACTCTGCTTATTACATTCCCATCCCTACTCCCAATTCATGTCATCACACAACTCATGGCTATCCCTTACACAGAGACAACTCCCTTAATTTTCACACACAAAAAGAACTTTCCCCCAGCACCAAGGCATTGTTCCCTCTACCTTGAGGATGGCATTGAAAAGACATATTTAACAACTTGTCTAGTAAATAACTAGAACAGGGGTATCAAACTCAAGGTCCACAATGTGGTTGGATATGGCCTGTGGGGCTGTCCTGGAAAATTTAAGAGGCCAGCCCTGTCGCTTCAACCCAGTCTACCCATATCGCTTCAGCCCGGTCTACCCAATGCAAAGAGGAAACATTGGCCCAGCATCGCTTTGGCTCGATCTACCCAATGCAAAAAGGAAACATGCCAACAGTTTGGGAAGTGGCATCAAGCTGGCCACACCCAACAGCCATGCCCAGTGAGTGGCTTCAAGCTGGCCACACCAACCCAGTCAGCCACGCTCACCTGGTCCCGAGGTCAACCACAGCCCTGATGTGGCTTTCAATGAAATTGAGTTTGATACCCCTGAACTAGAACAATCCACTAGCAACCTTGAAGCTTCTTCCTTTCCATTATCTCCTTGACTAGATGAAGACAAACCTACTGCTATGTTCTAGTTCCCTGCTATTAGTTTACCTTGTAAAATACATTTTTTTTCCAGCCTGTTATGAGATCAATAATGGGTATTTTCCTTCTCTGCTGTTAGAATGGAAACAGAAGCTCTTTTGTAAGCTAATAACCTGCCTGGATTTACAAGGCTTTATCACATATTTGCTAGTTTAACTTACATTGTACAATAGTTTATCATTTTGCAGTGAGTAGAACTGCAGATGTCCAGGCTTGCCGTTTAGAACTAAAGCTTTCGTTCTTGGATCAACTATCAAGCCAGTCTTGACATCACTGCCTGAAAAAAGGAAAAGGGTTTGAAAAAGAATGGCATTTCTTCTTAAAACACAAACACAATTTCAACACCACTACCGCCCCTAACCCCAAACATTACACTACGTACCTTTGATTAATCCTTGGATTACTGCAGAAACTTTCAAGTTGCTATGTATGATTACTATCTCTGTGTGTATTGAAAAAAAAATAGTTAATAAACATCAGAAATAAGGCTCACAAAAAGTAAAGAAAAGTTATCATCTACAACTGGACAATTCAGAATATTTACTAGATCAGGGCTGTCAAACTCGATTTCATTGAGGGCTGTATCAGGGTTGTGTTTGAACCTCGAGGGGGGGGGCATGGCCAGCTCGACATCACTCATGTTGGGGGCACCTGTGGTGGCCTAAGCGCTCTGCCACTGAAAACGGCCTCCTGAGCTCCATTTTCGGCTGTGACAGCCTCCTGCAACCCTCTGCCAGTGAAAACGAAGCTCAAGAGGACCATGCATGGCCCTCTCAAGCTCTGTTTTTGCTGGCAGAAGCACCGCGGGCCGATCCTACACTGTTTCCAGGGTGCCCCTATGGGCCAGACCTAAGTACCCCATGGGGCAAATCCAGCTTGCAGGCCTTGAGTTTAACATCTCTGTACTATACAGTACGATACTTCTATTAGGAAAAAGAGCTTGCTTTTGATGGCACTTTAAATCTTGGGATCATTTCTGTAGTCTTGGAACAGTTTGGTTGAAGCAGCAACCAACAGTACTGTTGAGCAGCTTTGACAGAGGCCAGCAAACCTCTTTCTAGAATAAGACTTTGAAGTTAACCAAATGCCACCTGACCTCAAAAGTAGACCTCTACAATGCAAAGCTATTCTTGAAGGCTGTTCAAAATCAAAATTAATTTAGAATAAGGCAATAGGACCATTTTCTATTGTAAGTCACTCTAAGTAGCTAACTCCCGCCTGTACAACACTGATGGGGTATATGTAGCTACCAGATCTTGATAAGATTTCAAGTTCTAGCTTGTCTAATCAGCACCGTAAGTTATGGAAATTGGACTCCAAAATATCCCAAGACCCCCCCAATAGCTCCCCATTCCAGAGTTGCAGCAGCCATAATTTTGGGACCAGGTCATGGGGGTTGGGGGGGGGGGAGTCTGCTGTAACTTCGAAGGGTTCTAAGCGACCATTTGAGGTCTGTGATTGGCTAGTGGTTAGGATGCAGTACTGCAGTCTAACTCACTGCTCACTCCAGGAGTTCGATTCTGAACAGCTCAAGGTTGATGCAGCCTTCCATCCTTCCAAGGTCGATAAAATGAGAAGCCAGATTGTTGGGGACAATATGCTGACTCTGTAAACCACTTAGAGAGGGCTGTAAAGCACTGTGAAGCGGCATATAAGTCTCAGTGCTATTGTGTTTATCATAAATGTCACATGTTAAACCAAAACCAATTACAAATCTTCCTGATTTGGTCTTACTGTTATCGGAATGTGAAGTACAAAGAAGAGTTCCATCAGGTGAGACAGAGATGTGCTGTATCGTAGCTCCTAAACGTGGCAAGAATTCCTTTTTAGCATCTGACCCATCTCGCCACTGAACCAGCACTGATTCAATCCCGCCACTCAGGAGGCTAGTGCCTGTTGATCCAAACGAAAGAAATAAATGAGTCAGAAGGCAGATGAATCAATTAACAACTAATAAGAGAATAACTTATAATAACTTACAGTAAGAATAACAAATAAGAAGCCAAGAACAACTGAGCAACAGTTCTTTTTTCCCCAATTTACTCAAGTGATTTAAATTATTTTACATTTATGTCATCTATATCTATATATAATAATGGCCGTGTGTGTGTGTGTGTGTGTGTGTGTGTGTGTGTGTGTGTGTGTGTGTTCCAGCATAACTCTGGAATGCATCAAGCAATTTCAACTTGGTACACAGAAGACTTACCCTCTAGGAAAAAAAAATATTTGGGGGGTAAGATACTCCTAAAACCCCTTGAGGTGTGTGTTCTGTTAAGATACAACCTGTTGTGCCGTAAAATGGCTTCTACTGTACATTGTAGTGGAGTTGCTATGGTAACGGCTTCACAGTACTCCACAAGAGGGCTCCCTCTGGTAAGGGGGAAAATCCGACATTAGAAATTACGTTTGGTCCGGACACTTTCCCTGTATAAATAAATACCCGGGCAATGCCGGGTTATTGGCAAGTAGCTAATAATAAAGCCAATGATTGCTTTGGCTGAGTAGTCTGTACAAGTATTTGAATCCTATGAGGATTTAATAACTTGTCATACTAAGTGGAATTAAAAAGGGCTCAGACCACAAACTTGCACAAACTGACTGAGGAATGAACTCAATGAACTGACTCCCTCCACACTGTGCAGCACTGTGTATGATAAAGGTTCTGCTGGAAAGGTGTATAATCATATATATTTTTATCTCTCTGTATATAATAGATCTCACAAACTGAAATTCAACTTCTATAATGCTATAGTTAACATTTACTTTAACAAGGGATTAAGGCTTTTCTTTTAACATAAGAAACAGGATTTTCCAAGCAAAGTCTTACATTTTGCTTACGTTAGCAGAAAAATATGTTCTGCTGCCACACAGCAAAATTCCTCCTGCTTCCTGTTCAAATAAGAAGCCAAGAATAAAATAAACACGCAGGGGCCACCTCAAGTGCTTGGCAAGGTCCAGAATTTTCCAACAGAGAGAGATGATTTTCCCTCAGCTACTTAGGGAATGGCTCAACCTCCCTGTTTACATACACTGATATAAAACAGGCGTAACCATTTTATTACCTTGCTATTAATCAATCTGTAACCATGATTTACAAACTCTGTTTTTGCTGTTGGAACCATTTCTAAACCCTTTGATAGATTTACAGATATTCCTCGACTTATGACCACATTGAAGCCCAACATTTCTGTTACTAAGTGAGGCATTCGTCAAGTGAGTTTTGCCCCATGTTACGATCTTTCTTGCCAGTGATGGCAAGTGAATCTCTGCAGTTGTTAGCTCAGTAACCAGGTTGTTAAGTGAGTCTGGTTCCCCCCATTGAATTTGTTTGTCAGAATGTCGCAAAAGGGGATCACATGACCTCAGGACATTGTGATCGTCATAAATATGGGTCAGTTGCTAAGCGTCTGAATTTTGATCACATGACCATTGGGAATACTGCTATTGTTGTAAGTGTGAAAAACAGTCATGTCACTTTTCCATCGTTGGAAATTTGAACGGTCACTATGTGAATGGTTATAATCCAAGGACTACCTGTACTTAGTATAGCAAACTGTTTTTCTTGTAGGAATACTTGATGCCTTTGTAGCACATTTTCAGCTGTCTGCATATTTATGGACCATTACAATATGTGTGCTTCAAAGATTGGTAGCATACAAGATACTTCAAAATATTCTCTCTTAAAACTGGACTTTCATAGCTCAGGAAATTTTACCTTCTACAGAGAAAGCAAGATCGATAACTTCATTGTGATGCCAGTGCATTGTGGAAAATGTATATTCTCGCTTATGATTAAAATTTCTCCTATAGGAATAAAAAAAAACCAGAGTTTGCAGTCAACTTCTCAAGAGTTTAAAAGGAGCTATTGTACAAATCACTTTGGTCAAGTGTTAAATCAACCTTCCCCAAATCCAGTGGTGTGAATTTCTTTCTCTAGCCAGCCAGTGTGGTTAATATAGAGAACTGAAGACACTGAAGTCTGCACATCCAAAGACATTTTCGCTGAAGGCATCAGTGCTAAATATTTTTGATTCGTAAGCTTGCAAAATAAGAATATTTACTTCCCTTACGTTATGCCTAGACCCTACCAAAAAAAATGTAGGTGAAAACATATGTGCATCACTTGCCTGGCTGTAAACTAATGCAAAAGGATAATTAATAAGCATTATTCAAGCCCAAAGCCTTTACGTTTGACTAAGAGAAGAGTAAAGGTTTCCCTCGCATATATGTGCTAGTTGTTCCCGACTTTAGGGGGCGGTGCTCATCTCCGTTTCAAAGCTGAAGAGCCAGCGTTGTCCAAAGACGTCTCCGTGGTCATGTGGCTGGCATGACTAAACGCTGAAGGCGCACAGAACACTGTTACCTTCCCACCGAAAGTGGTCCCTACTTTTCTACTTGCATTTTTTACGTGCTTTTGAACTGCCAGGTTGGTAGAAGCTGGGACGAGTAACGGGGGCTCACTCCATTATGGGGCACTAGGGATTCGAACCGCCAAACTGCCGACTTTTCTCATCGACAAACTCAGCATCTTAACCACTGAGCCACCGTGTCCCCTATAGAGAGAAGAAGAGTCCCAAAGACAGCAAGCCTCAATTTATACCATGGCCAAAAAAAAAAAAGTTGGGAACCACTGATCTATACTATTTTTACTATCCCATCCCAATGAACTTTGTGGGTTCAAAGGCACTGTTGCAAATAAATATGCTAGAACATGGTGCCTTGCAGCAAGCATACAAGCCTTCTATTTCATTCTCAGATTAGTATTTCAAATTAAGTGTGGAGCCCAAGGTACAATGAAACGTTTTTCTCTTTTTCAATGTTGTCAATAACTATTTGATTTTTTCCCCTTTACATATAGAAAACTGGATTAAGAACCGAAAACCTCCTACTGTCATTCATTGATTTATCAAGAGTAGATAGTTTAGTGTTGTGGCCCAGCAGGAGCCATTGGAGCTGCCACCAGACTCCAACAGCAAGGGACCCTATGAGTCGGCTCTGGAGGATGTGGAGGACCCTGGACAGGGTTCTGACTCCGAGCAGAGCACAGAGAGGCTGGTTGGCTACCAGGAGGCGCCTGAGCATTGGAGCAGTGGGGAGGAGCCAAGGGAGTTGTTCCTGGATGCCCAGCACCAAAGAGCTGATAGGCGTAAGGAACAGTTGTGCAGTTACAGGAGATAATTGCACTCAGCTGGTGGGTAATAAGGCTCCCCTCAAGACTATAAGAGGACTGCTTGTGCACACGCCCCGTTGCAGGAGTCAACGCATTGACTAAAAGTTGGAGAACTGTTGTGGCTAGCTTGGCAGGCTGGATTGCTGCCAAGGCTTGTCTGTGCTGGATTGCTGCCAAGGACCTGTCTGTCTGCTAATAAATTCCTTAAAGTAACTTTGGCTGGCGTGCTTTGGTGTGGGATGAGCGGGGTCAGAACANTTTTTTTCTTTTTTTTGGTACATATGCAAAATAAACAAAAGTTATATTATAAAGAACATTTATTTGATTCAATGAGACGGATGAAATTGTACGTTGAGATAACAGATCATCATAATTTGGTTCCCTGGTTGTTAATTTTAATCTGAGATGCAGTTCCACGTCCAATAGTCTGTTCCTTTTTTTCAACTTAATGTCTACAAATGCAGAAAAAGCAACTTCGCATAAATATGAAGTTGGAAAAGGCAAGATGTATTTCAGGACTTTTTTTGTTAAAACCGGATACAACACGTACCCCCACCAAACTCTTCCCGTACCCCTGGGGATATGCATACCACACTTTGGGAAACACTGATTTATGTCAATTCTTATTACCAATTAAAATTATTAAGTAACTCTGGAGAGGAAGGATGAACTATAGAATACTGAAAAAGACAGAATATAAGCTTAGTTGGAATGGAACAGTTCTGTTAAATTGTCTTCTATTAAGACAGTTCATGTGAGAGAGCAAAATGGCTTCATTGGCAACCACAGGTAGTCCTCAACTTACAACAGTAAATTTAGTGACCATTCAAAGTTACAATGGCAGTGAAAAAAGTGTCTTATGACCGTTTGTCAGAGTTACAACCTTTTCAATATCCCCAGGATCATGTGATCAAAATTCAGATGCTTGGCAACTGGTTCTTATTTCTGACCGTTGCTGTGTCCCAAGGTCATGTGATCACGTTTTGTGACCTTCTGACAATCAAAGTCAACGGGGAAGCCAGATTCACTTAACTGTGTTACTTGTAACATGGTTACTAACCACGTTACTAACATCAACTGAAGTGGTCCACTTAACAACTGAGGCAAGAAAGGTGTAAAAGGGAGTGAAATTCACTTAACAAATGTTTCACTTAACAACAGAAATTTTGGGTTCGATTGTGGTTGTGAGTCGAGCTCTACCTGTACTCTAGTTATTGTTGAGCACAAGGTAGGGCAAAACCAAGATGGCTGCTTGGTAGTTTCAGAGGGTCATGGATGAAATGCATTATCTGAACCCTTTCTGCTCAGGATCAGGCCCTGTTATGGGACAGAAACAGCACTGGCCACACATTGATGCTCTCTGGTGAGAGTGGGATGGGGATGGCCGCTGGCCTGGGACTCAACAGGGGTGCACCATTCTGGAGATAGCTGTTGGGTCAGGAAATATCTCACCTTTTCCTGTGTTCTTCATGTCCCTCTCCTCTCTATTTTTTAATGTTATGTTTTATTGTTGTTGTTTATTATTTTATTATTTTAATGTATGCCAGTTTTAATGTTCGTAAGCCTCTCACAGTTATTTTTGATGAGATGGAACATAAATATAATAAATAACTCTGAGCTACATATATTCTCATTCTGATTTTTTTTTACTTAAGTTCCCACACATGTATTATGAGCCCTGAGCATTATTATGGCCCGAGGACACCAGATTTTAATGGTCCCAGACATAATGTTATTAGTTATAAACCTCAGAAATGCCTTCATTTGCAGTATATTACAATGGCTTTATACGATTATTGCACAACAATGCAACTTTGTGAAATCAATACATTTGAAGCATGTGAAACAATTGCTCACAAATATGAAGCTTCATATTCTTTTTCAAAAGCCTGCAAAATTATAACCCACTGGCAAACTTCTAGGCAATTGTAAAATTCATTTCTGACTTTGAAGATGGAACTGGACAATGAAGAGTTTATTCTAGAATTGACTTTAGCTTTTCACATAATAACATGTGAAGCAGATATAGTTCAACTAGATTTCCTTCTATCCATCAGAAAGTTATGACTCACTGTGACATTCATGGGAAACAGGGGGTGGGGGAGTATCTCTGGATATATTTTTTTTCCTGACAGTGTGATTTTTTAAGTTCAAAGCTTCTCCTCCTTTATTTAATTTTCCACATTGTAAAAGTCTGCACTGTTGTCACTTGAACCGAAGCCCATTGAAATGAAATTGATACTTTTGTCGGCTGCTGCAGAGAGCTCAGCTTATATATATATGGAAAGTAAACGTAGAGAGACACAGAAAGAGTAATTGTCACATTGTGATCCCATAAAGCTTCTTCAAAGTGTGCAATCTGAAAAAGTAGCACCTTCTTTTCAACTATCTTTTCAAAAATTATATGGATGATGTATTGCAAGGGTAAAGCAGACAAAGACACTGATGCATAATAAATACAGGTAGTCATTGAATTACAACAGTTCATTTAATGCAGTGTTTCTCAACCTTAGTGACTTTAAGTCCTGTGTACACCAAGAATCCTCCAGCTGCTGGCTGGGGAATTCTGGGAGTTGAAATCCATAGGACTTAAAGTCGCCAAGGTTGAGAAACACTGATTTAATGACTGTTCTAAGTTATAATTGCACTGTAAAAAAATGACTTATGACCATTTTTTCACACTTGCAATTTTTATAGCATCCTCATGATTGTCTGATCAAAATTCAGATTCTTGGCAACTGGTTCATACTTATGACTGTTGCTGTGCCCAGGGCCGGATTCAGATGAAAAGAGGCCCTAGGCTATTCCACTTATGAGGCCCTTTCACCTCCCATTTTTAAGTTTATAAATNTGGGGGGGGTTTGGGACATGTGTTGATATAAATGAACATGGGTTCAGGCTGCTGCATTCTTTGGAAGGCTCATATGAGTGTTTCAGACTATCTGGGCACATATGGGGCACCTATTAGTTTTGTTTGTAGTCTCAGTGAGTCTCAGTTTGTAGTTTTTTGTGGCTGCATTGCCAACTGAGGGAAGCCTTCGAAGCAACTCTGCAAATTTTCAAGAAGACACGGCTGCTTTGCTTTACAGTAATGTTTCAAGGAGGGGTGTTCTGCTTACATTTATACATTTTTTAAAATGCTTTGCATCAACCTGTTATATTTAAAACCTGGCCTTTAGGTTATGCACATAATCTAAACTTTAATGAGAGCAAAACTTTAAAGACCTTGGTTACTTGTACTCCCTGGAGTATAATGTGTCTGCCATCATAGAACATCATAACTTGGTTAGCGAATTAACCAATTAACTCATATTCAGGATTGTGAGATTCACTGGACTGTAAACGAACTGATCTGAGTTCGTTTAGTCATGCAAAAGCAAATCAAGGCTAACACTAATTCAGCATTTTGTACAAATGCAGCTGTTAAGACTTTAATTGACCTGGTTAAGCATATTATATGAATGCAGTCATGAGGAGCTATGGCTACCGCCAAACACCATCCATGTACTTTATTAGAAATAGTAGTTATAGCAACAACTACAGTATGCTTGCATTTGATCAGCTGACTAAATACAATGGAATCTGAACTATCATTTTTGAACTGATAATAACATAATAGCATTAACAATATTGGTTGCTCCAAAATTGGAGACTGACATCCTATATAATTGTTGAAGATAAGATTTAGGCAAGACTTTCCAGAGCTTTTTTTAGTTTACTGAATAAATATAGTTAAATGCTCTCCCTTTCTGAAGTTGATGCCTGTTTTGGGTTTAGAATTATATTTTAGGAATAAGATTTATAAATAAGATCTGCTCTTTTCCACTATTAAAATAATATAATTTAGATACCGTAAATCAATTTTAAACAAAATGTAAAGGCTTATAATAAATTAATGTTTTCATATCCTTTGGAGTAGAAATTGGTACAGTCTTCATAAGAACTGGATTGGAATTTGGAGTGGATTAAGAGTCCTAATAAACAAAGCTAAGCTGTTACCACTGTTTATGAGAAATACTATACAGTTACCATAGAAGGTCTATAACCACTAAAATGCCAGCTGGGAATGGATTTTTGCATACTTTCTATGGTGGAAATTATGTATATCTCTTCATTCTAGCATTCTTAACTGCATGCCAGTGTAAAACTCTTTTAAGAAAGAAGAAAGGCAACACAATTTTAATGTAAAAAACCCTCAGTTTTATGACTGGCACAAATTGTTGTTATCTTAAAGAAAATAAAACAGTGTTATGAGTAAACAACTCTTTTAGAAAAATGTTATGTTTGTTTAACTTCTTGAAAACATGATGCAACTGTTAGGTGAGAGCACAGTTTAATGATGAACCTGCAAAGATAAAAAGGGTCCATAAATATTCCCTTTGTTTTGTTTCCATCAGCAAGGAGATAGGTTTAAGAATGGAAAATTATAGGCTTTTACATATTCTTTTTCATATGTTTAGCCAGATTTGGATTATATATATTGTTCTTTCCAATATATGGGTAATCTTGCATTAAATCAGAATCCACTTGGATGATGCTATAATATAGATGCTTCCTCCATGGCTTCAATCCATCTGGGGAAAAAAAGAATCAAAAATTTATTTTTAAGTAAATCAGTATGAAATTACCTTGTCTTTGTTTTAACAAATGTTGATTTTGAGAATTGTTGAATATTTATTTTTCAGCTAGAGCATTATAGTGGGAAAGCCAGCTGTTTTCCTTGTTTGTTCACTAGAATTATAAAAAATAAGAAAAAGAGATCTATATTCTCCAGTAAGTATATGGAGATATGCAAATATAAGTTTAATACTACACTTCTTAAAACATGCTTATTGTGTAAGGAATTGTATTGACCTCTCCCCCATTTATACATGCATTCAGGATTCTTGTTTGCATGTCCAATGTATTCATTTAGTTATTATAAATTATACTATAAATGTAAAAAAAATAATATTGAGTATTTTGCAAGAAATTTTTTTTGCTTATTTACACAATTCCTGTGCCCATTCCTATATGAACGCAAGCAAATATTCCTGTCTGTAGTTTTCCTGCCAAACAATGGCTACCTCAAATTTTATATGTGGGAAAGACCTATTGAATTAATTTCCTAATTAAGATCCATTGGATTGAGTTGTATCCACTGAAGGTACTGAAATCCAAGAGTGCATAAGTTAATATCTATCACATTATTGTACGGTGTTCATACATCTTTTCAAGCACAGCCAATCCTGAAGCTGACCTGGCTGAGGCCATTTTGAGGCTTCAGTGTTGCCACACTGGAGCTAAGGGATAGGGAGGGGGGGATAGGGACAGTTGGGATTTTGTACCCAAACCAAAATACTTTCTCCTGGAAACCAAGGACATTTCTACAAGTGGTCAGAGAGGAGTGAAGTTACCAGGCAACCTGACAGCACCTTGATTGGACCATGTGACTGATTGTTTGGGAAAGTGGGGGAAACTTTTACTTTTAAT